CTGAAGCCTATGCCGTTGCCGGCGACTCACGGCATCCCAGCTCCAGGTGGAGCTGTTGTTCAGCATCTTAGCTGTAGAAGGCAGTGTCACTGGCCCTCATGTGGGATCCGAACCGGGGCCCTCTGGCGTCCCAAGCCAGCTCTTAACCAACGCGCCACTCGGCCGGCCCTCCCATTCACTTTTTAAGAAGGAACAGAATGAAGGTGGTGAAGGTGGTGAGGGGTAATGAACACTGTCAGAAATTCAGACCTTTTCTTTGGGACAGAGTTGCCATATTTAGCAAATACAAATATAGCCTAGATAAACAGCGAATATTTTTTAGTATAAGTATTCCCCATGCAATTTTTGAAACAATCTTATACTAAAAGTTATATGTCGTTTATCTGAAATTCAAATGTATGTATTTATTTGTTTATTTATTTATAATAATGGCTGATTTTATTTTGGTTGTTAGCCACATGAGGCATGCAAACAGCTGGAGGGTAAATGGTGTGTACTGTACCACACACAACTGAAGAAATGTGCTTTCTGTTTGTTTCCTTTTTTCCTTTGTGAAATTCAAACTTAATTGGGTGGTCTGTATTTTCTCTGACAGTCTTATTTGGGGGAGGACAGATTATGTAGATAAGATTAGAGAGTATACCTTTCATTAAAGGAGTTTGATGGGCACACTGATGTTTTCATTTTGAAAATACGTGGGGCATTTGAGAGTAAAATATTTTTGAAGCAATTTAAGTCACAAAGTGATTCTGAAACATAAAATCACCTCCAAATGGATAATAAAAGCTTCTAAGGATTTTGAAACTGGCCTCCCCCCACCCCCCAACACCTCCAGCTTTTTTAGAGAACAAACTTGTCTAAAAAGAAACAAAGCACATGTATACCTTTGTTATACGTGATCTCAGTTTACATATGTTTAGAATAACTCACCACATAGCCTACTCAATTGAAAAGTTAGTGAATGGTCAGCTGCTGATACAAAATGAATACAGCAAAGATCCTTAGGAGGTCTGCTTAGATAGGGATAACGCTTCCATCATTCTATTTATGGTATTTCCTCTTCATGATGGAAAATTCTCAAGGATGATGGTTCGTAATAGCAGTGAGACATGAGGACTTTCGGTCAGAATGGTTCCTTTTCTGGAGCCCTCCTCTCTTTCTCTGAATCAGAGTTGAGGAGAGGGAGGTTGGCCTCAATGGTGGCTGCCGTGAGGGGAGGCAGCCTCTGTTGCTGTTCAGAAGGCAAAGGCAGGAGCCATGCTTCTGTGAGGCCTGCCTTCCGCCTCTTCTGGTCCAGCAGGTCTTCTGTGGAGGATGGAACTTACTTAGAATAAGAGATAGCAGCCTCAGCGCCAAAGATGGGTCTTCCCTGGATCATTTGGAGGAACAAGAGTTTTAACAACCACTGATGAATTCTCCCTCTCCTGGGCAGGATAAAGGATTAACCAAGTGACAAGTAAGTACTTCAACTCCACACAATGAGGTCTCATATTCTGGTATAGGTTTTGTGATTCTTTCCATTTTTTCTCAGACTGATGTTGGGAACTTCCTAATGCCACCAGATTTCCTAAGCACACTTTTTATTCCTTTTATGGCATTGTCACAATATGTCATTATCTTGTTTTTTTTATTTGATTACTTGCTCATCATCTGTCTCCCCAGCCAGAATATAAGCTCTCTGTCTCATTCACTGCTGTATCACAAGTGCCGAGTTCAATGCCTCTAAAACTATTTGTTGAATGAATGTGTAAATGAGTGAATAAAAAAAAAAATCAATGCACCTGTCTTCCAAAATAGTGGGGAGGGTGATGCTAAACTCTTAGGGTGACCCATGTGACTGCTTTAAGGGGAAAATAGTAGAAAATGAAAGACTAGACGACTCGGCGTATGGTGTAATGGTCAATTGACTTTCCTTTTTTGTTTTTTTTTTAAGCTGAGCCATCCTGCCACCTGTTGGCAGCTCAGCGGCTGGCTGCTCAGCTCGGGCTGGACTCGAACCGCTGTTGCTCAGAGCTCAAACCCTTGAGCGATCTCTTAACCAACTGAGCCACTCGGCCGGCCCTTCAATTGACTTTCTTGATGGCCGTGACAGGACAGCTGGTTTACAAATGCCACAAGGGTATGGCCCAGACATGGCCTCTTTAGCAGTGACTGGACACCAAGCTTCCAGGGCATTGTTAAGTCTGAAATGGAAGGAGTCAGTTCATCTCATATATGTACAAGGTCCAACTGAGGTGCTACAGCAGCCAATCTGTGCTGGCTGGATAAAGGGCTATCCTCCTACGGCTCTCAGTCACGGGCTTCATTTGCTCATTGTTTGGCTCTCCTTCAGCCCACTGTGTCCACAGAGTACCTTTGCTCAGTGATAGCTGGAGCAGGCAAGAGACACCTTGGAGAAAACAACAGCTGAGTGAAGATCGGGGACAGCATGATTTCATAAAAAGACAACTAAGCTCAGCGTGAGAGCCACGCTGCCTTGTGTCCCTTTTTGTATTCTTTGGACCATGCAGCTCGCAGATCACATTCTGTTCCCAGACTGCTGAAAGTCGAGTAATAACTGACGGGTTCATCTCAGTTTGTCGTCATCTCCAACTGCTGTGAGTGAAAATCAGCTTGGTCTCATCATTAGAAACGATTGTAGAACTAAACAATTGCTTGTCCAATTCTTCTGTGTTTTCATCTGATATTCAATATGCCCCGAAGGATAAGAAGGCTGGTTGATAAGTATTGCAGTTTACCAGAAACACTGCCGAAGATTTCAAACTGGAAAAGCCAGCCAGAGTCCAGGAGGCAAGAAGGAGGGTGGAGAGAGGGCGCAGCCAGCTTGAATGGAAATGAACTGAGTCTTGAGGGAGGCTGCGTTCTCTAAAGCCAACAGGGTTGTTTGGGTACTTTACCTCTTAGAGATAATTAGGTGCTCAAAGATGAAACTGTCTCTGCTTCAGTAATGTGGAGGGCTGCCCTATTTAGCTTTTAACCTGGGTTCAGATTGCTGCTCCTACCTTCCATCTGAATCTAAGGGGGTGGAATGGAGAGACACATTGGCAGAAGATTTAATAGCCAGGAAAAAAGTGCTTCCATCAGCCCCATTTATCACTAATGATTATGGGAATGCCAGTCTAGTTCAACTGGCATTCTTTGACCATGCCTTATCCTGATTCCTCTAGAATCCACATTCTTTCTATAGCCCAGCTTGGGCAAATTAATCACAAATCTTGCTAGGTTATATAGGTAAGTACTCCAGACAATAATTATTTTATAAGGGTGTGTAATCATTTAAACTATCTGTTGCAAGGACAAGATGAACATAAATGAACTAACAACACAGTAGAACATCTTGGAGTTAGGGTTGAAAGGAAAGACTTCTTGAATTTATGATTTCTAAATTCAAATACCGAGAAGGGAGAGTAACTGGTATTTCCTTTAAAAATAATATGGACACTGCTACTTGTGTTTTTTCAACACTGTTTCATTGTTTGCAGAACTTATACCTCTTTGAGACTTTCTTGGAAGAAATGAAGTTCTTCCTAGAAAAGATATGCCACATTTTTTATATGGCGGGATAGTGGGAGTTCTTAAGAAACCCTGCCCTTGTTTAAGTGCTGTGTACCTCATAGTTAAGGAAGAACACAGTGGTCAGGAAAATGAAGATGGTTGGGAATGAGTTCGGGAAGAATATCCAACTGAAGAATTTAGTATTATGCAGTGTTTTGGTTCACATCCCCACTGGACTCACTCTTGGCACACAGAAGCCATTCAATAAAAACATGCTGGATGAATAACCCAAACTCCAGTTGCTGGGTAACTTCTAGCTAGAAGCACCCTCTACATTACTTTTGGATGTGGAAGGGACCTATGTCAGGGGAAGGAGTGTGACACTGTGGCAAGGAAAGTTGTGGTTGTGCTGAGCTTTTCTCTCTGGGGAGCTTTAGGATACATTTCAGCTCTAAGATGGAATTTCAGCCTGTATCTCCATCATCCCTTTAGGGGACATTTGGGCTGACACCTGTTTATTTTGTGAGACTCTCATGGGAACACTTCTATGGGGAGCCATGTTTCCCTCCCGTAGCATTCGTTATTTGGAAAATTAAAGGGGACCCCTGCTCAGCCCCTCACTGATCTATGGAAATCCTTTTGGTAGCAGAAATTAGGATACCTGTCTGTAAACAGTCACAGGTGAGAAAATGCTCAAGGTTTCAATAGCAGGGGTAAAAGCCAGCCTTGGAGAATATCCTCCAAGCTGTTTAAACACTTACCCAGTGAAAAATAATAGCCTGCTTAATCCTATAATCCTCCCTATCGTCATCTTTTCCCAGTGCTCCAAGCTGCAGTGTTTTGCTTCTAGTCGGCTAATATGTGATGCTAATTAGCACATGAGTTGTGTTGACTTCTCGGTTCATAAT